AACCGTGTGGCGAAGCACAACCCTTTCAACGAAACAGTAAGCAACGGTAACTACCCTACGAAATAAAAAAAATTCATTTTTTAAAACTAATTCCGTGTTTTTTTATAATATTTCAAGTATAGACTTTATTTTATGATCTTTCTTTATAAAATTTCTTTTAAAAGAAAAATATCTCGCTGTTTTACAAAGAAGCAAGTATTTCGAGGGAAATAATCTTCATCTTTCAAAAAATATATTTTCAATTTTGCAAAACGCGCGATTTGGACGACATTTCTTTATAAGATCCTTGAGAAACGAAGGTAAAAGATGGATTTGTTAATAACTTGTCCTTTAATTCTTGCCTTTTCGAATCTTCAAATTTTTATATAAAAAAAAAAAAAAAAAGTAAGAGTCACCTCTCGAAGGTTGAAACGCACATCTCGTCTTCAAATATACAGAAGAAGCAGACGTTCTGGCGACAACGTGGAACATCGAGATGATGCTCTCCGCCGGGCGTTGCCAGTTTATCGCTCGCGATAAAAGCGGGGGTTGTTTTTCTCTCTCTCTCTCTCTCTCTCTCCCTCTCTCTCTCTCTCTCTCTCCCTCTCTCCAGAGACCGGTATCGGGGTCACATCGATAGACACGCCGCGTGAACGAGCCGCGGTTTTCACGCCAACGCGGCGCGAGCAGGCATTATATTTTTAGTACGCTTTTACAACGGCCGCCCCAAGCTCGGACATATTGCTCGAGCCGACTTTTTATCACGGTCCAATCGAAATCGCCCCGACCTGCAATCAGAGCTTCGTTAGCGGCCCTTTTATGCGAAACGGCCGGTTACAGGCGGCTAGACGCCGCTCTCCATCCCTCCTCCCCCTTCCCTCTCTTTTTCTTCGATCCGTGTTAGACAATTTTCTCTCTCTTTCTCTCTCTATCTTTTTTATTAATATTTCTCTGTGCACTTTCTTCTCACTTTTGTTTGGGATTAATTATAGGCCATTTCGTGACCCATTTCGAGTTATTTATGCAAGAAAAGCTTCTTATCGAGTTCTTCGTTTATAGAAGAAAGCGGCCGAGATTAGAGCGGCGTATATATATATATATATATGATTAATATTTTATTGAAAAACCGAAAATGAATTCAATGGCTTTCAATAATTTTAAAAAGAGTTATTACGAATGAATTTGGATTCGAATATAATTATAGTCGTCTATAATTATTTTTCTCGTGGATGGTTGACATTTTTTTTTTTCCTCTTTTTTCTACAAACACGATAATTATAAAGATATGTACAAGAGAAAGCAACTGATCGAAAATATCGCAATTACGATTAGTCCGATTCGTTTTTGCTATAACAAACAGAAATTGATTTTCTCCAAGGAATCGGTGGAACAATAGAAACGGCCATAAAGCCGGGCTTTAAAATTCATTTTTCTTTTCCACGGCCAAAAGCAATTTTACGCTCGGCAAATATCGCCGAGGCAAGCCCCAACGCTTTACCCCTTTTTTCCTTTTACTTTTTTGTTCAATCGTCGTGGAAGGTTTTGGCGCGAGCCACCCCCTCCCAGATTTTAAGGCCGCAACCGAATTAATGGATAATTCGTGTTTGTTCTGTTTTCACCCTGATCCCCCCCCACCTCTTGCTTGTTGCAAAAGAAATACCGATATTTTCTTTTCCTTCTTCTTCTTTTTCTTCTTCTTTTCTCTCTCCGTTTAACGAAACAGTCGATTTGTACACCGCTTAATTAATTGGAGAGTTCTTCGTATCGTGTCTGACCAACGACGGGCTTTACTACTTGCTGGCACGCAACCAGCCCAGAGTTCCGTTTCCTCCAGTGAGTGATTACCGACGACTAAATACTTTGTTGACGAATCGGAGAAGAGGAGGAGCTGGCGTGCACCTCCTGGCCACCATGATTCTTTTCCTCGTCAGTGTGACATAACTTGGGGAAAATTCAATTAGGTGGAGCGCGTGCGTTTGAATAATTCAAACGGATGATTCGAGGTGCAGGGAAGGGAATGAAAGTTGGATTAATGCGGATGGTTACATGGCGCAATTTACATAATATTAGGTTCATTATCGTGGAATCGTGGAAAAGATGGGGTTAAAGCTATTACACAAAACGCATTTTATAAACGCGTTACAATTGCAATTTCAGGTCAAATTGTGATTCCCTTTGAAAAATATAATATTCAATATTGATCTTTTTCTTTCACTCGGAATAGAAATCGATATTGCTTTTTTTTACCTAAAAGCTTTTCGATACATTTTTTATAGAGAGATGATACGTTAAACGCCGATAAGATTTATCGTTATTAAAAAGGGGAAAAAAAAGAAATTATTTCTTCCTTCGAAGATAGATATATTAAATATATCGATCTATTTTCTCCACTGTAAAGATCAGAGTGAAATCAGTTTGGCTTCCTTATAATTGCTTATGTTGAAATTTAAGTGCAGACAAAGCGGACACGTGTTTCCACGAGATTCTTAAAACCGTTCGAACTTGGATAAAAATCCGATCGCCACGTGCCGACAAGACAAGAGGTGCATTTTTTTTTTTTTTTCTCTCACGTCGAGA